CGGATCACGAGGTCAGGAGATCAAGACCATCCTGGCTAACACGGTGAAACCCCATCTCTACTAAAAATACAGAAAATTAGCCGGGCACGGTGGCGGGAGCCTGTAGTCCCAGCTCCTCGGGAGGCTGAGGCAGGAGAATGGCATGAACCCGGGAGGTGGAGCTTGCAGTGAGCTGAGATCCAGCCACTGCACTTCAGCCTGGGCAACAGTGCAAGACTCCGTCTCAAAAAAAAAAAAAAAAAAAAGAAATGTGCAAAGAGAAATAATATTCATGATAATGACCCTTGAAAGATTATAAGATCTTGTAATGCCTTAAGAATTATTTTTAAATATTGAATGATCACTACAGATTCCAAAATAAGTATATTTCACTGTATCTCAAGATTTGTAAATTGGCAGTGTCTTACTTTTTAAAAATTCAACAACATTTATTGAGTCTCTGATTTTCCAAGTACTGTGCAAGGCACCTGGGATATAGTGATAGACAAGACAGATATAGCACCTGCTCTCATGAAACTTAGAGTTGAGTGGGGAGCAATAAACATATGTATACAGAAAAAATAATGTCTAAGCTAGAGACTAATGTGCTTCTTGGTCAGGTAAGGGCTTTTCCACATAGTAACATTTAAATTGAAAACTGAAGGATGAACAAGACACAGAATGTTCCAGGATGAGGAAACAGCATACACAAAAGCCTTGAGGTTGAAAACAGCCTGACAATTTCACATACAGGACATTACTGGAAAGAATGGTACCAAATGAGGCTTGAGACATGGATAGGGGCCCAGTTATTTGGGACTTCTAGACTGTAGAACAGCTTTTGGACTACATTCAAAGTACAATGGGAAACCATTAAAAGGTTTGAAGCAAAGAAGTGACATGATCCAACTTTCATTTCAAGAAAAGTTCTCTACTGCTATGTACAGAATAATTGTGTTCAGAATTCAGTAATGGATGGAGGAAACGAGTTAGGAAGCTGTTGAGGGGTCTAGACCAGGGTGATCTGAACTAGGGTAGTGGCAGAGAAATAAGAGAAATAAGTGGATATGAGATGTGTTTGGGGTAACCCTTGACATGACTTGTTGATGGTTTGGAAGTAGGAGATGGGGATAAAGAAGACAGAAGAATCAATGGGGTCCTTGGATTTCTGGTTTGAGCATTTTAATGGGTAGTAATTACTGAGACTGGGAAGAGCATGAGAAGAACAAGTTGTGGTTGGAAATCAGGAGTTTATTTGGATGTATTAAGTTACAGATATCTGTGTGACATCTAAGAGGGAATTTTGAATAGGCAGCTGGATACACAGCCTAAAGTTCAGTGAAGAGGACTGGATGGAAGATGTAAATTTTAGATCAATCATCTTACAGATAATATTTAAAGCCAAGACAATGGTGACATCACCTAAGGAGACATTATAAAGAGAGGACAGGAGGGCTCACAGATCTCAATATTAAGACATCAGATAGAAGAAAGGTCTGAGAATATTTACAAGGAAATCCCAGAGAGTGCCAAATCAGGGAGGCCAATAAAAGAGGGTTTCAGGAAGGAAAGAATAGTCGGCTATTGGAAGTGCCACTAAGAATTGAAGAAGGGAAGAGAAAAGGATTCTTCTTTTAAGTTCTGCTGAACTTGGTGAGATACATTTCAGGATAGTAGAATGGCAATTCTTCAATAACTAGAACCTTTAGTTAACTGACCATGAATCTTATATTCTGCAAATACTTTGGATAAATGAGATAGAAGCTAAGTGGCTCAAGGAAGTAATTAGGAGATGTCAAGATCAAATTCATATGCTTATAGCTTTGTAGCCCTCTGGTTCTTTGTTGTTGTACCAGGGACCAAAGTTTCAGTGAACATAAATTTCTAGCCTGCTTTGATGCTTCTCCATTGTCCAAATATCAATGTCAACCTTAAGCTGAAGAGACAGATATAACTAAATTTTTCCAATTATTGTTTATTAATATGTAAAGCAAACAATTATAATTTCAGGTACCTTTTGAATATTGACTAGGTTAAGGCCCCATATAATACACATGCATTAAATAATTTATTCCTAGTATTATTTCCAATTTGAAGATGAATAAATTAAGGCTTAGAGAAGGTACATAGCTTCCTCACAACTAGCAGAGTCCAGAAATGAAGCCATGATTGTCACCACTGTGCCAAACTACTAATTTATCAACTGATAGAAATCACTTTTGGTTAAAAATATAACTATGGATTTCTCTAAAAATCAGATCACTATTTATGAGTTCATTCCTTTGAAATAGAATTAATTTCTTTAACAGCTACCAACTGATTTGAAATAATAGCTAGGATAACTTTGCAAAATCATATGAGGATTGGGACTATATCTAGATGAGAGAATTCAAAAGAAATAAGGCTTAAAACCAGCTGTTTGATATTTAGAACTACATGTACAGTTTTAATATTGCAATTGCTGCTTCTAGCTATTCATCCAGAAAGATCTGAAATCTTGAATTAATTTTCAAATGCTGGTCTTATTTGGCACACACAAAGAAGATGGTGGCTTTAGTTTTTTTCTAAAGACTGTCTAGTGATAGAATTTAGACACTGGTATAATGAATTCTTTTATATTTGACTCTTAATTAAACTTTGAACGATGCATGTAAGTGATATAGCATTTATTTGCATATTTGGACCTCTTAGAATAGCTATTTTAATAACACTGCAATTACCAAATACACGGAGGGAGCCATTATATTTTCGCTTGCAATTTATTTCCGCATTAGTTGCTTCACTAAAAAAATTAATTTAAATGATGTTTAAGTTTTCCATTACAGGGGTTCTATTGACTAAATCTTTTATTTCAGTACCAAAGGAATAGAAGTATACATTCAGAAAGACAAACAATTATTGGAGGTAATACATTAACATTAAATATAATGTCAATGGCAGGCTCAGGTGAGGTAGGCATTACATGTATTCATTTTTTCTTTATAAACATAAGGCAAGATTACTTTTCACATGTGCAGTAATCACTTCAGTAAGAGTGGTTATTCAATCCAATAACAACATAGTTAAGTTTATAGAAAACATGATATCAATTAAGCCAAAATATGTAAAACTATTATTCAGGAGAAAAAACAGACTTGTGAATAATAAAATTATATTTTAATAATGTGAATCATTGTCTATTATACAATGCAAAAAGCATAGGCAACTTAAAACAAACAACTGGATTAAAAAAAGGGGCAAAGGAGGCTGGGCACGGTGGCTTATGCCTGTAATCCCAGCACTTTGGGAGGCCAAGGTGGGCAGATCACGAGGTCAGGAGTTCAGGACCAGCCTGGCCCAGTCTCTAATGAAAATACAAAAATTAGCTGGGCACGGTGGCACATGCTTGTAATCCCAGCTACTCGAGAGACTGAGGCAGAAGAATTGCTTGAATCGGGACCCTGGAAGTGGAGGTTGCAGTGAGCCGAGATCACGGCACTACACTCCAGCCAGGGCTACAGAGCAAAACTCTGTCTCAGAAAAAAAAAGGCAAAGGGCCAAGGAGTTGAATAGACATGTCTCCAAAGAAGATATATAAATGATCGGTAAGCACCTGAAAGGATGTTCAACATCACTAATACTTAGGGAGATGCAAATCATATCCACAGTGAGATACCATCTGACACCCATTAGGATGGTAATTATATATATATATATATATATATATTTTTTTTTTTTTTTTTTGAGATGGAGTCTCGCTCTGTCGCCGAGGCTGGAGTGCAATGGTGTGATCTCAGCTCACTGCAACCTCCGCTTCCCGGGTTCAAGCGATTCTCCTGCCTCAGCCTCCCAAGTAGCTGGGACTACAGGCGCCTGTCACCATACCTGACTAATTTTTTATATGTTTAGTAGAGAAGGGGTTTCACTATGTTGGCCAGGATGTTCTCAATCTCTTGACCTCATGATCTGCCCACCTTTGCCTCCCAAAGTGCTGGGATTATAGGCGTGAACCACCGCGCCCAGCCTATATATATATATATATATATATAAAATAGCAGGCGTTATCTAGGATATGGGGAAATTGCAGCGCTTGTGCATTGTTAGTGAGAATGAAAATGGTGCAGCTGTTATAGAAAACAGTAGTCTGGTTTCTCAGAAAATTAAAAATAGAATTATTGTATTGTTAGCAATTCTACTTCTGATTCTGGGTGTATGCCCAAAAGAATTGAAAACAGGGACTCAAACAGGTATTTGTATATCTATGTTCATAGCAGTATTATTCACAATAGCCAAAAGATGGGAGCAACCCAAATGTCCATTGATGGATGAATAGATAAACAAATGTGGTATATACATACAATGAAATATTATTCAGCTTTAAAAGAGGAGGAAGTTCTGACACAATGTACAACATGATGAACCTTTAGTACATATGTAAAGTGAAATAAAGTCACACAGATACAAATACTGAATGATTCCACTTATATGAAGTACCTAGATTACTCAAATTCATAGAGAAAGAAAGTAGAATGAAGGCTGCTGGGAGTTAGGGGAGAGAAACATGGGAAATTTTTTTTTAATGAGCACAGAGTTTCAGTTTTGCAAAATGAAAAAAGTTCTGCAGATGGTGGGGATGGTTGCACAGCAGTATGAATTTATTTAATTCCACTGAACTGTGTATTTAAAAATGGTTATGAATGTAAATTTTATATTATGTGTATTTGACCACAATTTTTAAAAATAAAAAAGTGTCACTGTAAGCGTAGTTGCTTAAAAAAATTTAAAAGCAGAGAAAATTTAGCTGATAAGAAGCTATATCGACATCAATAACTAACTAGAAACTAATGTGAACATCTTTTCAGAGCTGTTATACAGATTAAGATATTGAGATACACAATTGCATATATAATCATATATCCTGTTATATGATGATATGTGATGTAAAATTGATTGTTTTTGCTTTGGTAAGATTTTCTGGAGATGTTGAAAGGAGCTGCATACAATAAACTTGGTTCAAATTTTTGTTGTTGTTGTTGTTGCAGATCTGTGGCCACTTGTTCACATGGTTTCAAGGCACAATGAGACTCACTGGCCCTTGGAAACTTTGGCTTTGGATGTCAGTGTTCCTGCTTCCTGCTTCCACTTCCGTGACCATTAGGGACAAGACAGGTATCCAGGCCAACTCTTTGCCTAATCACCAAATGTTATTTATAGCCTTGAAATCATTAAAACAAATCTTGTTAAGATTGAAAAGGCCATAGATGAATCTACTATAACAGAATGAATTACAATTCATTGCTTTCTTCCATTGATCTTCCCATGAGGTACATTAGGAATTCTTAAAATTACCTCATTTTTTTCATGTGCATAGTATATTAGTCTATGTCTTCCTTTCGTCTACATTATTTACAAGTATACATACATGCATGTGTGCCTCTGTGTGTATATATGACATTATATATCTTTCCCTTTCTTTTTCAATAATTATGCAAGTTATAAGTATGGAAACTCATTACTAATTAAGATTAACAAGGACATATCTAATCTTAATTAGGTAAAAGTGAAAAATTGGATAGGAGCTATAAAAGGAAATGTAGTTTAATTATATGTTCATTTTGTAGTATCTTAGATGAGGCAAACAAAAGGTTGACAGATCTTTAGAGCACTTTTTGAACTAAATAGACAGTATTTGCAATTAAATTTATCAATCTTTTCATAAATATTTCCAAAAGGCTTAAGGGAAATTTGAAATATTTACCTTCACCTCTGCTTTTTGAAATTGATTATGTGTTTAATTTGGAAGACTTTTCTTGAACATTGAGTGTGTGTAAGTTACTTAGCTAAATGTAATTCATATTACAAGGTTGAATTAGACACATTGGAGAAGGCATTTGCTAGGGAAAGAGAAACTTCATCTTTCCTATGCAAAAAAATCACGTATAATGTATTCTGATGATAATCATATATGATTATGTATTCTGAGACTGTATTATTGTGCCTATTCTTTTGAATATTTTTTCAATAATTTTTGCTAAACAAGTATAAACTCACTCTAGTAGAGACTTTTGAGTTTGAGACACACATAAATTACAATTACTCATAAAGATCTAACACATCATAATCTTTCAGAGTGTTATGTAAGTCATTATGATTTTTTATTATTTGGCAGAAGGTGCATTTCCTAAAATAATCCACATGAAAGTTTAAATATTCTGTTATTGTACAAAAGACATCCTGTGGCTGTCATACAATTTGTGGGGGGAAACACTTTCTTTCTTCAGTGAGAAATTAATCAGCTGTGACTCATGGCAACTACAATATGTAAAAAAGGAAAAGAGATGCATAGGGCAGCGGAGTTTATTCTGATACTATTTCTACTCTTCGGAATTTCTTAGTCTCTTTTTGTAAAGAAATATAGCAGGTAATGTGCTTTGCAATTTAATCTGAGATGACAGGACTTTTTTAGTTAGAAGGAAGAATTAATCTTTGGTTAAATAGGGACAGTTTTTAGGCACATGCTAGTGGGTAGTAAATGTTCTTGATGATAGCAAGGATTTGAAGGACCTAAATAAATGGTTCTCCAATTTTAGTGTGAAAAAGAATCACCTCACATATTTGATTCCTGAGTCCTCCTCTCACATATCCCCATTTTGCAGGTCATACTGGGGTGGGATTCAGTAATTTACATCTTTAACAAGTTCCACAGATAAATCTAATGCAGGATTATCTGAGGAAAACTCTTAGAGAAACACTTACCTTTGAGATAATTAACAGACATTTTGGTTTTCTTTTTTTCCTTTCACCTGGTTTGGTTACCTTGCATTTTATGCACCATTTTATGCCAAGGTTCCTTTTTTTGTTGTTATTTTATTTTATTGTTTACCTTTAGTAACTTTTTAAAATTGTGATAAGCACACTTAACATGAGGTCTGCCCTCTTAACAAATGTTTAAGTGTATAACACAGTACTGTTAATTATAAACAGGGTATTATACAGCAGATATCTAGAACGTAATCATCTTGCATAACTAACAGTTCCCCATCTTGGGATTCCCCTGAATGTTTGCTTTTGTAGCTCTAGTATCTCAACTCTTTAATCAGGTTACATGATGTATAGGACTACCAAAATGCATATATTCTTATCCAATTTACTTTGCTGAATTAATCTTTCTGAATGATTTTCCCAACAGTGTGAATTCAAAATTAATCTGAACTCTAACAAGATTCGCTTAACATGAAGCATTAAGGGAAATGAATAAAAGAAAAAAATTACGTTATTTTTATCTTGCCATTTGATAGAGGGTGTTCGTAAAGCAACACATACTGAACGTGTGATGGAAATTGCTTAACTTCAAGTATCGTTTGCATTAATTGAAAATGTCAGCACAGCACTGTCAAAGGGATTATTGAAGAATATGACACACTGGGCATGGCCTGGAAGGAGACCCTTCTTGTGTCTTGTATATCTGATTCACAGTGCAAGGTTCCCTTTTTAGTTTCCTCATGTGCAGACCTGCGCGTGTGGTCACTAACCATTTACCGGAGGGAAGTGATTATGTCTAAAAATAAAATATAACAAATCTGAGAGAGAGGCTAGGGTTTCAGTGTTGGAGTCTGTGAAGTTGTCAACAGTTTACTATTAAACCTAAATATATGACAGATAGATTGGGCCTTTTAATTGCTTTACCTTAACACTTCGGTATGTTTAATAATTACCTGGAATTGTCCCAGTTGAGACAGAATTTAAGAGTAATATGGAGAGATTCAATAATAACTTGAATTTTAAAATTTTGAAGGTATTAGGAATTCAGTCATTTCATATTCTTTCATCAATTTTCCTATTATATTGAGATCACGGGATAAGGTATATTTGTTTATTTTCCTACTGCAAATGAACTTCCATTTGAATGTGACAGCTTCAGCTCAGTTACTTGTCAAAAGAAGGTGGGGAAGAGAATTGTGTTAAAATATATACAATGCTAGAAAATCTCAAAACTTATTTTAATTAGTTGTGTAAAACTCTTTCCTCTAATATAGAAGACTATGTATCAAATAATTAAAGTTTCATCTATTTTCTTTAATCTGTTCTAAGGCAAAAGTACTATATCATCATAAAAAGCAATAAGAAACAGAAAACCAGAGTTAAAAAAAAAACAGACTAAATAAATGAAAATGACAGAATGCCTTTTAAGTAACACATTTTCCTTTCATTCTGATAAATCTTCAGTTTAAGTGTCCAGATTGACTTGATTATACATTTAAATTTAGGCCTGTAACTATTCACATAAACCATTCTAAGGTAGTTTTCTATTAATTACAAAGAATTACAAGGAAAAACACCTATTATTCCAAAATGTGGCTTTCACTAGTTGGCAAACACTTCACGCTTAAACTCAGAGTACGATGCATGCTGTTATATAGAGCATTGTATTTTGTGTTTGTAAGAAATTCTTGTGTGCAACGTTGGTACCATGTAAACATCCTTCAGTGGCAAATGTACTCTGTAACTCCTCGATTTTGAAAGTGGAGGAAAAAGCCTCACAATGATTCAATTAATAATACAGCTTCTAACTAGGTATTTTCCTTTGGAAGAATTGGGCGTTTAAGCGGAGGCACGAAGGCGGTGTGAGGGCAAGGCACGCGAACACCTGGGAAGCAGTCACTTGGTCCTCAGGCTCTGAGGCAGGGGCATGCTTGGCATGTGGGAGAAACAGCAAGAAAAACCAGGAGACTGGAGTCAAGTGAATGAGGGGGAGGAGGTGTGAGGGTACATGGCTCCTGAGAAATGCATTGTACTTTCTGTGTTGTCAAAATCTGATTTCTAAGCCTGCATGGTCAAAGGCTAGACCTTGGACTCTGGTAAATTCGCCAAAGCAATAAATCCTGTCCTGTGAAACCTCTTGGAAGATGTTCAACCTTTGCCCTGTAGACCCTTCCCGGATATCAGGTGGACAGGCAGGCTTCTGAATGTATGCTCCTCATTACCTCTCGGAAGCCTTATTTCACAGTTAATTGAATATTGTCATATTGTATTATTCATAATGCATTGTTATTAAAGTACAGATGTGTGGAGATATGTGCATTTTAGCAAAGTTAAAATATAAATTAGGCCAGGCGCGGTGGCGCAAGCCTGTAATCCCAGCACTTTGGGAGGCCGAGACGGGCGGATCACGAGGTCAGGAGATCGAGACCATCCTGGCTAACTAACACGGTGAAACCCCGTCTCTACTAAAAATACAAAAAACTAGCCGGGCGAGGTGGCGGCGCCTGTAGTCCCAGCTACTCGGGAGGCTGAGGCAGGAGAATGGCGTGAACCCGGGGGGCGGAGCTTGCAGTGAGCCGAGATCGCGCCACTACACTCCAGCCTGGGCGACAGAGCGAGACTCCGTCTCCAAAAAAATAAATAAATAAATAAATAAATAAATAAATAAATAAATAAATAAAATATAAATTATATTTTGACCGGACAAATTATGTTTTCTTTCCCTGCAATCAGTAAACTGGTGTATTAATAGTCTAAGTAATACAAGAACCCTCACTAAACTGCAAAGAGTATAACAGAACATGTTTACGTTTATTTTGTATGATGACTATAACTTTGATTTTCCCTTTTGCTTTTGTAGTACCCAAGGAATTACCTCATCCCCTGGCTTTTCCTAAGGCCAGAAGCCTCTGTGTCCAGAGAGCAACTAGTCCATTTTCAGTCTGAGTATCAGCAATATACACAGATCTTTTAGGTATTAAATCATTTGAAAAAACAAAACATTAAAAGATTGGATGTTAGCTGGTCTGAGCTTCTTAGCCATTTGAGAGGAGAAAAAAGGAATTCAACATACTTTCAGGGAATAATAAAAAAAAGTGGAAAAGAGGGATTTCAACATACCTTTGGTGAATACTGTATTAAACTGAAGATTTATATGAATGGGTATAGAAAGTATCAGACCGGGCCAGGCTCGGTGGCTCACGCATGTAATCCCAGCACTTTGGGAGGCCGAGGCAGGCAGATTGCCTGAGGTCAGGAGTTTAAGACCAGCCTGGCCAACATGGTGAAACCCTGTCTCTACTAAAAATATAAAAATTAGCCACGCATGATGGCGGGCGCCTGTAATCCCAGCTACTTGGGAGGCTGAGGCAGGAGAATCTCTTGAACCCAGGAGGCGGAGGTTGCAG